TGTTATTAGATACAAAATATCTTTGGCCGCACGACGGGATACATATCTCGCACGCGACATTAACAATTTGCCGGCGTTATGACGATCGGAATTTTTTCATAAATCGTTTCCGCTTCAGAGCGCTTCACAGTATATAATTATATTATCTGTAAAAAACAAAAAAAAATTGTATGAAGAAATTAGCCAAGTGATTTAAATCGCATAACTCCACGAAGAGTCCAACGTATAGGTCGGGAAGAAAAAAAGCTATTAATAGCAGCCGCAAAGAGTGCTGAAGAAGTCGGCCCTTGAGGATCCACGCGTACTTGTACAGGAAGACAAGATATCCTCCGCAGCCTTTTATGGCTCAAAACGCCGAGAAATAAATTGAGGAAGGTTCGACTCACCATCGAGCGGAACGACCGGCGGAATCGCGCGCGCTCGAATCTCCAGGGACAGCGGGTAATCGATGTGGAGAACCGAATGTCTCGAGTACCACAGGACGGAGGATTGACGGACTGGGGACGGACCGACGGGACGTGTCCCAGGGAGAGGGACACTTCGCGGCGGCAAGTCGATTCGCAGATCAGGTCCGGTATGCATCTCACGGTCGATGCAATAAATTCACGGACACGACGAGTCGCGACGATGAAACGCGGCCTCGTCGCGCTGCGCGTAGAAACGTGAGCACACGGAGCTCGGATTTCTCGCAATCCCTTCCTACAACCAGGATGGATGCATGGCGCGAGCATCGCCTCCAGGGAGATTCGCTATATCCGCGAAGGACCATAAAGAAAAGAGAGAGAGAGAGAGAGAGAGAGAGAGAGAGAGAGAGATCAGGTTATCACAAGTTATTCGCTTCGGATTTTCATCAATACGCTGTTCCAAAATTTTCACTTTATTTTTGTAGAATGAAAAAACAGAAATATCGGCGTGATCGATCGGCGAGTTTAATTTCCGATGCTTAATACTTTCTATAGTTTAATACCTTCTGCTAGTTTATCAATTATTTTGAATCGTGACGTCAGAAATGAAAAAAATATTCTTGTAAAGAAAATTCTTGTAAAATGTATTAAAAATAAAAAAATGTTAAAAATACAATATTTCTGAAATATTGTTAAAAGATTAATAAGATTGAAATGGCTAAAATCTTTCTAAAATATTTTTAAAAATTTAACAAACTTTTCAGTTATCTTTCTGTAAAGTTTCAAGTACAAGAATTGCAGACATTTTGCTATTGCAGAAATATCAATGCAATATCAGTGCAGAAATATCAGTGCAATGTTTCTAAGGTATTTTAATTCCTCACGGCAGTGAAACATTTCTTAGATCTCTCTGAAATGTTTCTAGCTGGACGTTTTAATAATCGAAAAACTTAATATGATAAAATATAAATAAAATATTAATTCTTATATTCTATTAACATTTACTAGTAAATTTCCGTACCATTTAAGGTATAAAGTGTCAAAATAACACTAAAATCACAATATGAATATATATATCGACATATCAAAAATCACTTTTTCCATATGATTAATACAGAATTTTTCGTTCTGTATTACCGATATAATAAAATTCTACTCAAAATCCATATCAATACTTTTAATATGTTCTAAAAATATGTACAAAATACCATATAAATGTTCTGAACATATTTTGAAGATATATAAGAAATGTCATATAAATATCTTGAAAATATCTCAAAAATATATGCGAAATAATATACCGTACTGATGTTCTAAAAACATGCTGAGAACTTACGATCAATAATCTAGAAGTCCGATATGACTAACAGTCGATAAATATATTTTATAATTTGATGATAACTCAGGTAACAGTTCATTATTGAAAATTCCATACGTTTCTACAAAAGTGCATTCAAAAATAATATCCGAATGCGCTCAGATGTCATTTTAGCCTTGTTTAAAATTGTTAATAACAAGGATAAAATGATACAACCAGAGAGAAACCTACAAATGGCTATTCCGGCCATTTTTATGGACCATTAAAACTTTCTGTATAATACCGCTACTATATACATCCATTTTGGAATTTGTAACTACTTAGCTACATCCATAATTCAAGGACCAAGAATTTGTTTATATAACTTAAAAATTATATACCATATAATTTTTTTTGTTATAGATTAAAGTATGTGATTAATTTTAACATATAATCGATATGTTCATTATATATACATATACATACACATATACAAAATTTTGTATATTATTATATTATATATAATATTAATATTCGTAACAGCACAACATTTGACGGAAATATATCGTGCTGATTATTTTATTTTTTACCAGTTCTTACGATAATTCTAACCGATTTAATTATAATCTCTCTATGATTTCAATCGTATTTTTAGGAAATGATCAAATTAAATTTTTACAATTAAATCAATACAATAAGCCAAGAATATATTTAAAGAACAAAATATATAATAAATAGTATTTTTATATATATCTTGAATTTATATAAATTCAAAAAAAAAATTATTAGTCATCTAAAATGTCAACTGAATAATACCATTTATTGTATTTTATCCTTTTCACAACATTTTGAATCGATTTACAAATTTTTCATTTTTAATTTTATATTATTACAATTTCTTTATCTATCCGAATTTTTTAATATCCTTACGTACCCGATTGGAAATTCATCAATTTTTAATTTATAAATTATAATAATGTTGTTATTTATTTGTTATTTATTTGTTATTTATTTGTATAGCCAAATTTTTATATAGTATTTATATCCCTACCTATCCGTATTCTCTTCTCAATTAAAATTTTATAATTAACATTTTAAATATAAATTTAACAATTTATATTTTTTAATTTATAAGATTTTTTTTTATTTGTCTGAATTTTTTAATATCTCTACCTACCCTGACCGAAAACTCATCGTTTTACAATTAAATTTAATTGAATTCATCATAAAGTGTTTATTTTTTAAATTACAACATTTTCCTGTCTTCAATTCTTTCCCACCCGCATTCTTATCCCATCCAAATTTTCATAGCATCTATTTGCGAATTTTAATAATATTCCTACCTATCCGCGAATTTTCTCACAGTCTTTCTACTTAATCAAATTCCTATGGTTCTTGATCTTGTGGTTAATTCAGTGAGAATTCAGTGGGAAATTCGCGACCATTAGATGTAAAATGCATTCAGAAAAAGAATTCAACTAAAAAAAAATATTATAATATTGTAATATATAAGTAATAATATATAATATAATATATTATTGTATTATAATATTATAATATTTAAAAATTTATGTTCAGACATAGATGGCAATTTCCCCCCCATAACTATGTGCTATCGCATGTATAAAAATCTTTATCAACCATTTATTCATTTTTATTCATTTTGAATAAAGTCAGTATATTATTAATCTTTTTCTTCAGGCTAGATTGGACCTACCTTTCATTGCTCCTAGCCACGTTGCTCCATCGTCGATTTGGCCACACATAGCCAAAGATTCTGGCCACATATATAGCCAGAGGAAAGGAAGGAGATAGTCCTTCAATTATCGGCTAATTATCAATGTCGGCAAATCTTTGCTCGATTTTTATATGCGCACGTCGATCATAAAATCGCGTCGAAGACCATTTAAACATTAAAATAAATGATTTATAAAATTAATTTATTATTAATATCGTTTTTGCGCAATAGGTGTGAATTAATTTTCGAATCAAAGTAAAGAAATTCGATTATATATTCGATTATATTATAAATAGAACTTAAGAAACTTGGTAAGTTAAAAATACTGCACAAGAATAGAAAAAATTAAAACAAAACGATTGCAATCTACATAATTAATATATAGCTAAATTAAAAGAATCTAAGGTCCATATTCGTCCGTATTCGCATACAATTAAAACCGTTATTTAAATCTCACCATAAATCAGGTAAGAATGATATAAAAAATTCAAAATGAATGACGTGAGATTCGAGTAAAATAATAAATTTCTCGCATAATCAGCATATCAATATTACACAATATACAAGTTTACAAATTATGATATTAATATAAGTTCTAAATATCAGATATTGTATACACATCTATATAATTTATCAAATACAACAATATGAATAATAAAAAAATTTAATAAATATATAAATAAGAAAATCTAATATATTAACAATACTTTTATTAAGTTAGGATTTAATTAATAATAAAATTTAATTAACAAAGTTTTAATATAAAACAAATAGATTTTAAATAAAAATAAATTAATAATATATAATTATCAATTTATATTTGCGAGACAAAACATTTATTGAATCTCATGTCACATTAAATTTTACTTCGTAAAGCTAAGTTATTAATTAATATAGATGGATAGGTTAAACATGATTAGGATCAAATCGGCACGTTTGCTTTATAATTTGTTACTAACGTTTGCTAAAT